TAAATAAAAACCCTGAAGATTCTATAATTTTTAATAACAAGGGTATATTACAGTATGAATGATTTCTTAGCTAACACATTACAAAAAATGAACAAACTCGAAGATGCTTTATTAAATTATGATTTGGCAATTTAGAGAAACCCAAATATTTCTTAATATTATTATAATAAGGGTATGTTTCTCAAATTAAGAATTTTAGCCATCGCCTTAGAAAAACTAAATAGTTTAGAAAAAGCTTTGGAAAATTATGATTTAGCAATTTCAATAAACCCTGAAGAATAAATCTATTATTATGCAAAAGGTAAAATTATGTAGGTATATCTTATAGCTGAAGCTTTAATTAAATAAACGGATAGAATAATTATATAAATCTGAAAAGGCATCGAAATATTATTAATGAAAAGCTTCAAAAAACAGAAATCAAAAATGAAATTGAATTCAATTATTTATATAAGTTGCTTGAAGCTATTATAATTCAAAATGGTTATTTATTCTTTAAGCAAACAAACTCTAGATTTCAATATATGAAATTGAGATATGGGATTGGTTTTTACTATCTAGTAACTACCTACCTAGTGATAGTACTATGTTCTGGACAACTAGATAAATGCAAAAATGGAGACCGGCGTTGGCATAGGTATAGGTGATGGTAATGGCGAATCGACAAAGGATTTAATTAATGCTTTGCCTTGATAAATAAAAAAATCGTATTTGTTGGCTTTTATTCGACAGAAAAAAATGAAAAAAATTTCTATATAAAAAAAAAATTTTTAAATTAATAAACATTGAATCCTATTTATTCAGCTAATTAAAGAAATATACATTAGAAAATATTGAGTTACATAGAAAAAACATGAATAACAATTATTGTAAAAAATATAAAAAAGTAGAAAATTGGAAACTTATTGTAAATTGAAACTTTAAACAAACTTTAAAATACAAACCTCCCTTCTAGACCTTCAAGTAGAAGGGCTTCGTAGTGTCCTAGACATACTCTTGGATCTCTCAAGTTTTCCCACCGCCTTGGGGTTGGGGTTCGGGTTTGGGGTTTGGGTTTGGGTTTGGGGTTGGGTTTGGGTTTGGGGTTGGGGTTTGCGGTTCGGGTTTGGGTTTGGGTTTGGGTTTCCCTTCTGGGATTGGGTTTGGGTTTGGCTTCGGGGTTGGGGTTGGGGTTGACATTGGGGTTGGGGTTGGGCGCTGGGGCTGCCGGTACTACTACACGATACGAGATAG